ATAAAAATGTATCGGCTACGACGAATGGGTCAACTCAGAGTTGAACTGAGGATCTTCTGGTAAGATTCAACGACGTGGTTTACATATTCTTGTCAGATGCGTTAACCACTACGCTATTGACCCGTACTACTAGTGAGGGTGAACCGGATGATGAGACTTTGTATTTGCCTGACGTCAGCGAGACCCGGCGAGACCCAGCGAGACCCGGCGAGACCCAGCGAGACCCGGCGAGACCCAGCGAGACCCGGCGACGCCCAGCGAGTCCCATCCCACTTAACTGAATGGGTTGGACATGGCCTTTGTGCTTCAGCCTGCTTACCTTGGTCGGTTAGAGCACCAGTACTGCTTCCTTGGGTGGCGCAGGTTGAAGTCGGATTCAAGTCCTATACTGTTTTCCTGCTAATCCAGGAAGCGAACATACACCTGATAGATTGCTCAGTCACAGTATGGAAAATGAACGCCGATACACCGAACCCCAGCGAGACCCAGCGAGACCCAGCGACGCCCAGCGACGCCCAGCGACGCCCAGCGAGTCCCATCTCACTTAACTGAATGGGTTGGATATGGCCTTCAACCTGTGCTTCAGCCTGCTTACCTTAGTCAGTGAGAGCACCGGTACTGCTTCCTTGGGTGGCGCAGGTTGAAGTCGGATTCAAGTCCTATACTGTTTTCCTGCTAATCCAGGAAGCGAACATACACCTGATAGATTGCTCAGTCACAGTATGGAAAATGAACGCCGATACACCGAACCCCAGCGAGACCCAGCGAGACCCAGCGAACGTCGGCGGACGCTACTGAAGATGGTACCATGGACCGAGTAAATTACTTCCCGCACCTTTATCGGCCTCTTATGAGGTCCTAGAACCAGTCCTGAGTGGTAGAAGATCGCGTGAACCGGGTTCAACATGATCGTGCGCCACAACTTGATCGGCCCATAGCTCGCTCAATGTATAATTATATGGTCTGATATTTCGTACAGTACATTCCCTTAGGTGTACCTACAACTTCCTCTCTTACAAAATAGCCGTATTTTTTTTTCATTTTGCATCGGTGCAACTGAAGTAGGGGTAATATCAAGAAGGAGGTGAGGAGTGGCGACGCGTAGGCGCTTGAGGTCGTCGAGAAGGAGAAGGCGCAGGGAGAGCGGCGAGTGGCTGAGGATCGATGTTGAGGAGGAACAGAGGTGAGTGGTATCGATGAGTGAATGCTCATCGAGAAGGAGTGGTGAGAGGAGGAGGAGGAGGAGAGGCGAGCGCACTTTGATGATGACGAGGAGCGGCGAGTGGCTGAGGAGGGAGGAGAGCGATGATGGGGAGGAGGAGCAACGCGTTGCTGAGAACGTTGAAGAAGGAGAAGGGCAGCGGTGAAGCGAGGAAGGGTAGAGGAATGACAGTAATGCTGATGATAATGAGACTAAGCGAGGAGATTGTAGAGGAGGATGAGTTTGACGATGATGAGGAAGAGTAGAGTGCTGACGATGATGAGACTGAGTGATGATGAGGGGAATGGTGGAAGAGTGCAGGGATAACGCACTGAGGATGAGGATAACGATAAGAGGAGGTGAGAACCCTAGAGGCTAATGGCAAACCGTATGTGGAACCCTAAAGGCTAAAGGCAGACCCTAATGGGAACCCTACAGACCCTAAAAGCTAAAGGCAAACCCTAATGGGAACCCTAAAGGCTAAAGGCAGACCCTAAAAGCTAAAGGCAGACCCTAAAAGCTAAAGGCAAACCCTAAAAGCTAAAGGCCGAGGGCTAAAGGCCAAACCCTAGTAGGGGTAGCCGAGGTAATCTCCTTTTTAGGAAGGTACCTTCCTAATATGGATGTGTAAACCCCGGCCTAGGGTTCCAATGGCCTTTCTGACTAACGGCGACAAGCATAATGATAGAACGGCACCACCTCTGCTCACCCTAACCATTCCTCTCAGCGTGACTTTACGTGCTGGCCACTACAGTCGAGGAATCGGGCCGTTTTTTAATATAAAGCATCATTCACATATACAGTCTCTCAGTCGGGTACTCGAATTCACTCACCTCTTCATCAGACACTCGCTCGTTGACGCAGTTCGGGTCTTGCGCTGAAAATTTACTGTTCTTCGCCCACACACACAGTCGGAAACACTCGAATTCACTCACCAGTCTCTTAAACACATCCGACAGATACACATCAGCTCTCGCAGAGTCTCCCTCTCGAATTCAGTCTCCCGGTTGTCCGTTTCCCACAGACAGATTCACCTACGCAGTCTCTCCATCTTTACGTCCGCACATAGAGTCTCACACTCGCTTGCATTCAGATCCTCACTCGTTAACACACTTCGGGTCTTGCGCTGAATATTTACTGTTCTTCTTCTCCATCCTCAGTCGGAAACACTTGAATCCACTACAGAGCCTCTCAAACACATCCTACGGATCATCAGACACACATTACGTACTCCGCATTCAGGTTTCGCACACAGATCTTCAACGGCGTCTTCATTGGGTCCTCGCCTCTATAGACACTCGCTCGTCAACACCATTCGGGTCTTGCGCTGAAAATTTACTGTCCCTCGCCTTGAATTCACTCACTCGGGTGTCCGTTTCCCACAGACGGAGACTTGGATACTCACTTGCATTCTCTCCTCACTCGTTAACGGGAACAGATCTCTCTGCCCAGACACTCGCACCACATCTGAACATGGATATACCTAACTGGCTGGTGAACTACGCTTCCTGACATCTAGCATTCACAGTATACTGTCCGTTTGACTGCACTCATCCTGCTCCCAGTAGAATCCAGATGTGCCGGATGAAGCCGGTCGATGCCGGTCGATGCCGGTCGGAGCCGGACAAGCCCGCCCAAAGTCACACAGAGATCCACAGAGAGATGTATGACATGCACGGTCAAACTGGTGCTGAATTCTCATTCCTGAAGGTCTTAAACAGTGAGGTGATACTCACTCGAAGAACTGAGTACACAGTTATAGTGAGATGCGGAATATGAAAGGAAATGCAGTACTGGATGTCCTAGTGCGGCAACGCGAACAGGCGCGGTCAATCAGACACCAGATTCGAGTTCCTGGACCTCAAATACATTAGGAAAATGCAGACACGAATATCTGGAGTTGCAGATGCGGAGGTATGAAGCCCAGGAAGAGGGATGAGAGCAGGATAGTCTGGCGAAAGAACGAGGACAGGGGAGGTCAAGCGGAGCGCGGATTCGGACTTCTGGGTGTCAAAACCCCCCGGATGCACGAGGGATAGGTAAATGGAGCCCCAGAAGAGAGCGAAATGCACCCAGAATATTGCTAGAGGAGGAGATGATAGGCTGGAGCCTCAACGATGCGTCGCGCGGGTCCGGAGATGGCTGGAATCGATTTCTAGACGTCTAAAACAGTTGGAGACGCCCAGACGAGGCAGATGGAGCACCGAGAGAGAGCGAAATGCAGTCAGATTATGGCTAGAGGAGGAGATGGTGTCCTGGCACGCGAACGAGGACAGGCGCCGCCAATCGGGAAGCGAATTCGGATTCCTGGGTCTCAAAAACCCCCGGATACAGGTCGTCCAGGAATCTGGAGCAGCAGGATGGGTAAGAGATTGGGAGGGTATCAGATGCAGGTCAGACTGCTCTAGCGCGGGAACGTGGATTCGCGCCGCCAATCGGAGACCGGATTCGGATTCCTGGGGGTCGAAAACCCCAGGAGACAGATAATCCAGCAATCTCTAACATCAGGATGGGTAGGAGAGTGTCTGGGTAAGGAAATGGGACCAGGACGTCGTACCGCGAGAACGAGGATAGGCGAGGTCAAACGGAGTGCGAATTCTGTCACCCAGGTGTCAAAATCCCCCGGATACACGAGGAATAGGTAAAGGGAGCCCCAGGAGAGAGCGAAATGCAGCCAGAATATTGCTAGAGGAGGAGATGATAGGCTGGAGCCTCAACGAGGCGTCGTGCGGGTCCGGGAACGGCTGGAATCGATTCCCAGACGTCTAAAACGGTCGGATACGCCAGGAAGACGTAGAGAGAGCGCCGGGAGAGAGCGAAATGCAGCCAGACTATGGCTAATGGAGGAGATGGTGTCCTAGCACGCGAACGAGGACAGGCACCGCCAATCAGGCCGTGAATTCGGATTCCTGGGTGTTGAAAACCCTAGGAGACCCAGCATCCAGCAATCTGTAGCCGCAGGATGGGTACTAGGACATTGCCCGGGTGAGAGTCTGATGCGGAAATCCTACGCGCGTAGGGATTCAACAGGGTCCACTACTCGGGTCCATGTCGAAATCCTACGCGCGTAGAGATTCGACAGGGTCCAGTACTCGGGTCCCTGCGGAAATCCTACGCGCGGAGAGATTTGACAGGGTCCAACCTGCGGAAATCCTACGCGCGTAGAGATTCAACAGGGTCCACTACTCGGGTCCCTGCGGAAATCCTACGCGCGGAGAGATTCAACAGGGTCCAGCTGCGGAAATCCTACGCGCGGAGGATTTCTGCACATGGTGTGCCTGGATTCACGGGCGTGAATCCAGGCGAAGAATATTAGCGTCCCGAGCTAAGTCGATGAACCTGGCAAACCCTTGATGAAAAATTGATAGCCGTTGAATGGGCATATCTGTCGTATCCTTTGATGAACGCTTGGACATCGCACCGTTTTAGCCCGCCGGGCTAACACGATGAAACGTGTACCATATCTGAATTCAACATTAAGAATCATCGCAGTCGCATGCTTGTCTGACGCTTGTCCAGCACCGTGCGTTAGCCCGCCGAGCTAAGGCGATGAAACAGGTAAGATATCTGCATCCAATATCGCATTAATGTAGGTATCGCAGCGTTGTGAGGACGCTTCTCAGTCAAACTGCTTTAGCCCGCCGGGCTAACACGATGAAACATGCAAGATATCTGGACTTCACATTGAGAATCGTTGCACACGCATCTTTGCTGGATTGCTTGCACAGCACAATGCTGTAGCCCGCCGGGCTAATTGAGCGGATATGGACGGCAAAAAAGGTATTTCATGACATTGAAATGGCGCAACTCAGGTTCGAACTGAGGATCTTCTGTTGATATGGATGACGGGAGTCTCACGTGAACAGACGCGTTAACCAGCTACGCTATTGCCCCGCGCCAAGTGAGAGGTATTCCGCATAGTGGTATTGATCAGGTCACGTGGGCTGACCCTAAACCCTAGATTAGGGGAGGGGAACCCCAGCCTAGGGGTCCAGGGAGCACCCTGGAGAGTGTATTTCTCTCTTATAACCCATCTACCACCTGTCTTGTACTTGGTCCCGTTCAAAGTACTCTGAACCCTTTGCTAGCATGGCTTCCTGGCTCAGTGGTCAGAGCGCTGAGATGCTCTAGGGGATGAGTAGTAAGATATCGGGTCTTTTTTGGACTTGAAGAAATACTGCTTGAACTAGGGTGGCGCAATAAAGTTTAAACCTCCTGGGAGTGTTAGTTCGCCGCTGTCGCCGTCGAAGGTCAAGTCTCAAGAGAGTGATGTCACGATGTGGGCATCGGACGGATCAGCAAGTCCGGCATCAGCGGGGCTTCTTGATCCAAAGACTCTCATCGCGGCGGTTACTGGACCTCGGACTCTTGTGATGCGCGTCGCGGGCACTGCAAAGTCGATCCTACACGCAGAGGTATTTGGCCAGATTATGGACTCTTTGATGGCTACCGCCCTCGACGTCGGAACCCGTCAGCGACTTCTTACGGATCACATGAACTCGGTACGACTTGTTGACGACTCTCTGACGGACGTGGACGTACAACCTCGTCTCCGGAACTTACCAGGGCGTTCTTACTATCGGTGGCTTCTCTGCGCGTCGTTTCCGTGCAAGGAACTGATGTTTGGTTTATGTTTACCGTTCTCACCGATAACCCGGTAGCTTTCCCTGACGTGGGTTTTATCCTCACAGAGGTTTTCCCCGCAGGGTTTTGAGGCACCCGTGGTCTGCGTCGCCATTTACTTATCATTTTTCACTATATACGGTCCGTCGGGGTACTAGTACCTTAGCTATTTAATTAGCGTAGGCGGAATCAATCTTGTAACATTGTAACAGCCTCAACCGGGAGGCCTTAGTTTTGAAACCAATTAGTCACGGTTTCATACCGGCACGTGCTATTAACCACGAGATGTGGCACAGCGGCACACCGCTAGTTTCAGCGCTTGCGCGCCGTCACGTGCCGGCATAGAACCAACCTCCCGACCCCCGACCGTTTCAATAGGTTTACTGCCGTTTTTAACAGTATCAATACGGCATCGAAACCTCGGCGTACGGGTCTCCGTCAACTGACCCACTATTCCGAAGCTTCGGTTATTTACTCGCTTGAGACACGCTGAGTGGGGCTCTAAGCGTGTGAGCCTTGCCAAATTAGAAGCCTGCTTGGCTCAGTCGGTAGAGCACCAGATATTAATTAAGACGTCTGGTTCGACGTAGGTTCAACTCCTGCAGCACGGCTTGCCACTTTACGAAATATTTTTGCAACTTCACCTTACTGTCCAAAACTAGGGTGGCGCAGTAAACCGGTAAGTAACGGTTAGTAACCTACCCGCCTCCCGAGGTGCGGTTTCGCCCAGTGTATTCATCGGAAAACCAGACATAACACGTGTCGAAAGACACGTACCGGCGCTTACGAAAGGGAGTATGAGTATGAGTATGAGTTGGGGCTGACCAGTCCCGTTGCATAATAGCAACGGCAGTGGTTCCGCGCTAGCATATCCCGGCTACACGCCCGCGGTCGTCAAGCAGTGTCACATGTGAGTGGGCACTCAAGTTGCCGTCGTTTGCATACACCACTTGACGAGTGACGAGTGACTACCAGACCCCATGGCAGTTACTCCAATTAAGCCGGGTTTTTATTGACTTTCTCAAGATACGAACTTAATCACTAGGATTATATGCGCCGCCGCGGGAAAGAAGTAAACAAAAAGGCACCCGTATTTAGCCTCTTGCGCCTCGAAAGCTGAAACAGAAGCCGCAGATCACGGGAGACACTCGTCGCACGGCTTAAACCCGCATTATCCCGTTCTATGGCGCTGTTATGTGCTGGGACCGATGTACACTGGGATATGCGCTTCAAAGGCGACACCCACGCAGTCGTCCTGACAAGCAGTGACGCTCTCGTCGACACCAGGCCCTCGTCCATGACAACATCCACGCAGCCGTCCTGACGAGCAGCAGCACTTTCGTCGAGGTGCACTGGTGATGTTGTGCGCATGATGAAGAGATGATGGGAGGACGTGGAAGTCCTGCAATTTTCCCCCATAGAACGGCATCATGCCAATACTGCGGCATTCTTCCCGCCTCCGATACTGAAGAAAGAACGCCGGTAGCAAAGGGTGACGCATGAACGCCTGTAACACGAAATATTGCGAACCTGCTGAGTACGACTACCGTAATAGGAAGTTCACTCCCAAACCTTTGACACGGGTTTACTGCAGTTTCGGAACCTCGGCGGAGGTTTCAGTACAGCTTCGATACGAGGGATCAGGTCGGGCGGAGGGCGGCGGAGCGGTGCGCCACATCACGTGGTCAAAGCAGGTGCCGGTAAGTAACGGTAAGAAACCGTATCGAAACCTCCCCTCCAACAACGCCTCGGCCCCTTCCCCCCCGCCCCCGCCGTCGCCCACTCGAGAAGCGCGTTTCGATTGAGACGCGTGTTGAACGGCGGCCGTTGGCCGCCTGCCATTCATTGAGTTATAATCATTATCATTTATTATATAGTATACGCTATACTGTATCTCTTCCCCAATCCTACTAACCCTCGCCATCACCACCTAATCCTAACCATCTCGGGGCCGGTACCGTCTATTCGAGATAAGAGCACACTGCGAAGCATACCCTCGACGTCACCTTCCTCCCGTCTTCGCCCGTCGCCTCTCAACTCAACACGTGCAACTCATCTCGACTCACGATCTGTCTCGACGTACTCTTGAGACGGATGCAAGTACGGCGCGCACACTCACACTTTGAAACTTGGACCCGTCATCTCGAAACGCTTGCGGAAACACCTTCATTCGAATACACAACGCACTCGCAGTTCAAACACCTCATTCGGACACGTCTGCGGATTTTCAACTCAACACTTCAGTCAGTACTCAGTCTGGAGTTTGCCTTCACCTTGACTTCACTGTGAAGACGCTGATTGAGATCAGACTTGCTTTGAACAGTTGAACGCCATCTTGACTTGCATCTCAAAAACATCATGGCCCACTTAACTGCGCCACACCAGCGGCTGAAAGCCGGCATCAACATGGCAATCTCAGCTTCGGATGTGGAGGTCCACAGTGATTGAGATCAGACTTGCTTTGAACAGTTGAACGCCATCTTGACTTGCATCTCAAAAACATCATGGCCCACTTAACTGCGCCACACCAGCGGCTGAAAGCCGGCATCAACATGGCAATCTCAGCTTCGGATGTGGAGGTCCACAGTGATTGAGATCAGACTTGCTTTGAACAGTTGAACGCCATCTTGACTTGCATCTCAAAAACATCATGGCCCACTTAACTGCGCCACACCAGCGGCTGAAAGCCGGCATCAACATGGCAATCTCAGCTTCGGATGTGGAGGCCCACGGTGCAGGCCAAGAAACGCACGCAGCACGTAATCATGCTCGTCTATGTCGCGCTCCTTCCCTTAACCCTCTGTTCATCCACCAACCGCCGTTAGAAGGCTCACATAGACGAGCACACAGTAGTTGTTCTGCATTGTACAGAAGGAGAGCGTCTATATGAGATGATAATGGTACATGTGCAGTGCGAAAAAGGTCATATGGATCAGAAGGGATAATTGTATCAAACGACAAGTACGATGGTGAGGATCATAATTAAAGATACTGTCCATGATGTCCGTGAAAGTGCCTTACTAGTATTCGATGCCGTCGATGATGCGCTCGTTGTCCAGGCTTTAAATTCGTTGATCTCCCAGTTGGAACACCAGTCGGGGCCTCTCGCGATGTTGCCATGTAAGTTCCCGTTCGCCACGTCGACAGCTTTCAACGGCCGGCCGGCAGCATCCTTGGGCACCGTCGAAAGGAATCCTATTACAGGAGGATCTTGAGATGGGAGATTTCCAAAATGATACGGGGAGAGGACTCTACGAGCGATGGGCAGTGCAAAAGCCAATAACTCCAAACTCCATGAATAAAGATAGCCTTGTCCGCGTTGTGGGTATCAGTCACAGTGATGGTCGCGATACAGGCATACGTGCTATCCGCATCCGCCTGACTGATGAAATTGCGGACATCAACAGTGAACGTCTTGCCACCAATCTCGTGTGGCGTCGAACAAACAAACTCGGTTCCTCCAATTTGGGTATAGCTGGGGTCAAAAACATCGCCAGGTCCACGAATCAGAGAATTACCTGGAGGGCATGAGCAAAGAAACTCAAACAAGATGGAATGGACTCACAGCGTCGATGAGGGCCGAGTTTTGTGTGGTGGGATCAGCGAGCTGCGAGTCCGGTAGACGCCGGCCGTCGAAATAGACAGCATCAATAAACACCTCCCAGGCGATGGCATACGTCTGTTCGGGCATAAGATCAGAAGTCATCATATATGGGAAGACTGACTTCGGCCTGAGAATCCGGCCGCTTATGTCGCCCTCCTCCGATGCGCATCCACGAACAGGAACCCAAGCGAGGCTGTCACTCTCGACTAGGCGTATGCTGAGGAGTCCGAGGTTGCCGCCGCGATTAATGACATTCCGCCAGAGGGTAACGGCAAACATGGAGCTGCCAAAGATGCGAGCAAGATGAGGCGGGGGGTCAACAAGCCCATCGTGGCATAGGAAGATGTGATGATGTGTCCATTGAGATGTGCTTGATGCTTGACGCGGCTGATGAGAAGACGGGCGAGTAAAGTCGAAGTTCGGGAATGTGCCTCTAGTCCGGGTGGAGGATAGGCGCCCCCATGAGTGTGCGGCTCGTGAGATCTCCTGGCGGCAGCGACGGCGAGAATACTTCTGACTAAATGAAGCTGGACAGCCTAATAAGAACGGGAATGGAAATGAACGGAATGGCGCGTACCTGTTTATGGGAAATCCAAGCCAAATATTCCAGCCCCGCCAGTGTCAAGTTCGCTTGTGTCGGTGTTGCTGATCGCTGCGAAATGCTGAGCTTGGAGCAGCAATCCCGCGAGGTTAGCTGTTTCCTGTCCTATTCGCCGAGCGCATGTGCACGTCAAAATCCGGTGATTTGAAGGAAATTACTCGATCAGAGGAGCCGGTATCTGCAAGAGCTTTAGACCGAATAGCGAGAGCAGGAGCACGGCGCACCAAGGAAGAGAGGTATCGAAGGTCAAGCAAAACGCTGTACGTGCTATAATGACGCGTAAGTATAAATGTGATAATGATGGGCAAATGGAACGCGCACATCAAAATAGCTGCCTAACCCAATTTCTCCCACGTCTGTGCGCCTCTCGAGAGACTGAGATTCCGCCGAGCAATGGGAACATGGATCCCGCCCGCTGTTCTGGTCGCGTGTCGCTTGGAAAGCTGCGTGTCTGTCCGGGCGAATACGAGAAGGAGATTAAAAACCAGCAACTGCAACCCTCGTACGAGCAGTTCGTTAAGGAATGGGGAAGAAAGAACTTAAAGGGTGTGGACGGAGCAAAGAGCAATATGACAAGGATGCCGCGGAACTACTCGGGTCCTGCCGTCGGCGGAGGTTGCCAAATATGTGCAAGCCACTCTATGTCTTCTCTCCCACTTACAAAACTCCTTCGCTCCTTATTCCCAACGCGTTGGACCCATTTCTTCCTACGCGGCTACGGCTCGGTGCGGCGTACTTTGAAAATCTCTATCTTTGACGCTGTCTTATCGCCGCTTTTGCAGTTTATTCAATGTTACTGCCCCATCTTCTGGCCGCATCTCCAGCCACGTAATGAGCCCATGCCAATGCTCAGAGTATTATGTTGCCCTGTCGTACGGTGCCCCACCGGCGACCGCGGTGACGAAGGTAGAGGAACAATGTGTGGATTGTGGCGCGTCGGTTTTCTGCGATGCGAGTTTAGGATTTCATCGGCGGTGGCCCAAGGTCCCTTTTTCGAGATAGGACGTGCCGAATCATGGTCGCTTGTGCTGGCAGCTTTCCGGGCTCGTCTACGACGTGCGTGTGGCTCGGGAGTATGTGCCGGCGGTAGGTGAGGGTGAAGTGCGGTATATCTGGCCGACCCAGCGGGATTTACCAGCATGCCCTTGTGCAAATCCTTGTCAGAGATCGACCTCAGTGGTCGATAAACGCGAGAGGAGGTAGATGGTGCTGAGTAGTGGCTCATGATTGTTGGGAAATCGGGGAACAAAGACGAAGTCCTTTATAGCCGCAGATTGCTGTGCATAGACCAGCGATCTACGACCAAAGAGAAACAAGAGGACAAGACAAAAAAGATGCTTCCGTCGCAGATCGTGATCGAACACAAGGGAAACAATAGTTGTGGGTCCAAGAACTGCATTCGCGACG